AGCAGAGCTAAAATATCATAGCTATCAGAGAAACTCTCTAATCTATAGCATTAGATTGACGAAGATCAAGCTGTAAGAGTTTTTGTTAATGATTAGTTTAAAAAAGAAACTTTTGAAAGCAAGATTAAAATTCTAGAAGACAGAGCAACCAAATAAGCTTAAGGAGATGATTCTAAGTTCAAGTTGTTGAAGGAATAACTCTAAAAGGTTGAAGAGGGTGCATAGAATGAAAAAATCATTAGAGAAGTACTGATTTATTTTAGAAATAGGCTGGAGATGAAAAATTAAGATCAAAAGATTTAAAGGGATTAGAAGGATTTTTGAATAAAGAATTATAATCAGAAAAAATAAATAGAAAAGATTTTGAAGGAAAAATAATAAAGAATACAGATGATAAGGTTTATAGCTTAAAATTGGATTTGGCAAGATAGAAGAAATATAGAGAGGAAACAGAAGAGAAGAATGCTTAAGAGATAGGAGATCGTATTTTGTAATTATAGGAAGAAGTAGAAGAGGAGAGAAGATAAAGGTATTAATATTAATTAAAGTAAAATAGAGAATAATAAAATTAGAATACAATTAAGAGATTGGGTGATTCTATCTTAAAATTATAAGAGATCTTAACAACAGAAAAGAAATAGAGAGAATAAGCATAATCTTAAATGTTCAGAATGTTAGATGAAATGAATCATTATTTGAATAGCGAATTAACAAGTGAAAAGAATGAAAGAGAAGCAACAGAAGAGAGTCTAATCAATTTGATAGATCAAACATGCAACAGAGTTGAAAATTCATTGAGAAAATGAATAAAATATGATGATCTTTTATACATATAATTTTAAATAATGTTCAATTCTTTACGGCCTTGGATTAAAGTAAAACCAATTTAGTTTATATCTCTAATATAAAATGTTAAATTTATATTGTTTAATGTGGAAATCCTCCACATGATTACAAAAAATTGAAGAAACATTATCATTATTATGAAGATAAACAAATAGATGATAAAAATCAGAGAATCTATTTAATTGAAGTTAACTTTGCATATATATATATATAACTTACTCATTTGTCAAGGCTTAAAATAAATTCGAGAATAGAATAGGACCTAATGTAGTAGGTTAATAATTGAAATGATATGATCCTTTCTTAATTGACTATTTAAAATGAAAATCATTTTTGTGATTGTATTTTACATCTCTTAAGCCTATAAACTTCTTATTTTTGCATCTATCCTAATTGAATATATAGTAACTGTTGCTGTTTTGAATAAACTTATTGTTCAACATCCAAAATGTTTTTATATACCAGATGAAATGTCATTATTGCAGGAATATTATTCATTACAATAATTGTAAATGAATACAAAAGAATAAAAAAGAAGATTGAAAAAAATTGAATTAAAATGAAATATTTAAATTTTATTTTGAAATATCATTCCTCAACCTTAGAATTCATTTCTCATGGTTATTTAGAATACATCATTTATTCTATTATGGAGACATCATTCAACGTACTATATTTTTAAAAATCTTAATTTGACACCAATTTAAAGATAGAGTTAATAATTAATAAAGCAGAATGTTTGCATCCTCGATAGCTGAAGTCACCAAAAAAAGAATTCTTATGTTTGTCTTATGTTTCTTCCAATATGCATTTATACATTGTTGTAGATCAACTTGGAGTTATGTATCGGGTAGAATGGTAGGGGAAGACTATTTCACAAAATAATACCTAGGCTACATTAATTTTTCTTTTCTTTTTTGTTATGGGTTTGCGATATCAATGTATTGAATAAGTATTTGGTAGTTTGGGTTAATTTGGAGATAGAATGAGTCTTAAAGTATTTATTTTAGCAGGAACATTTACATCATGTTTAGTTTTCACTTTAATTGGAGTAATGATATAGATTGAAGTCAAGCATAATTATGTATATTTGATTTTACAAATAATTAATGGTATATCTCAATCAACAGCATGGTGTGGAGTGCTTGGTATAAAATGTTAAATAATTTAGCTATTCTAAACAATTGGTTTGTTACAGATAAGAAGGTGATACTTATGGGTTATTTTGCAGCATGTCCTAATGTAGGAAATATACTTGGTGATGTGTATTCAGGTGTATTAATAGGAAAAGATGATTTATCATTATATGCTCCAATTTATTTAGCTGGATTTTCATTATTCATAATGAATGTTTTAGACACTTTTTTATTAGAAAATGCACCTCCTGAAGACATGAAAAGATTGATGATTGAAGAGTATGAGAAAAAAAAATAAGCAAATTAACAGCAACCTTAACTTATGATATCTATGATTGAAAAAAAATATGAAGAAAATTTAGATTAATATTTAGATTATTAAAGAAAAAGTTCTAGAATATAATATCAAAATGGTGCATCTTAAATTGTGGTTAAATAAGAAAATGAATAGATTAACCAATTAAATTATTTTAATGCATGGTTTGTTCCAAATGTTGCATTATATGCATTTGCTTTTGGATGTGTAAAAGCAGTTTATTATATTCTTGGATTTTGGTTACCTAATTATTTAGATTCAAAAAATGTTAAAGATGTTGCTTGGATAACAGCTATGATTGATTTAGGATCTATTCCAGGAGGGATTCTAATTTGGTAATTTTAATTTTGATATTTCTAATTCTAGTTTGATTGGATATTATTTTAATAAAAGAGCAGTAATTACAGTTCCATCTTTATGGATAGGTACCATAATAATGATATCTGTAAGTTTTAGTGGAGCATTTAAACATGAAATAGCAGGATATATGTGTTTAATATTTCTTACAGGATTATTTATTGGTGGATGTTATAATAATATTTCAACTGCAATGACAGTAGAACTCAGTAATTAACCAGAATTAAAAAGTAATTATATTTTCATTTTAGATAGTAAATCTGCAACCTCAACAGTAGTTTCAGTTATAATGGGATATGCAGCTATGTTTGCAGCTATTAATTAATTGATTGTTCCATATGTAGAAAAACGATTGTTTGTATATTGTAGTGCATTATCTATAATTGGAGGAGTATTTTTAATTCCATTAATTATAAATGAAGTAAAAAGAAATAAATAAATGTCATAATCATAATTAAAAACTTATTGATAATATGTCTCAAATAAGGTTAATTTTACCAAATTTTAGTTAATAATAATAATAATTTATAAAAGAAATTATTATTTTAATAATAATTATCATAGACTCTTCAATCTTCAATATCATTCTTTCTTTTAAGTATATTTTAATAATGGATTCTCTTATTTTTATTAAGGAATGGTTCTATAAAAATAAAAAATTGATTCATACTATTTAAATCTGGAAGGTTTTATTTATGGAGAGGCTTAAAAATTATTTTATTATTTCTATTAAGTCATTCCAATATTAGGAATACTATCAACACTATCAGTTTTACCAGTCAATAAAGGTGAATTTAATTATAGTTAATTTTAAGAATCAATATTTTTTTAATGCTTTATTTATTTAATAGCTAAAGCACCAGGAGATGATTAAGGCGAATTCATCACTTGATTTCTTCTGAATGCATCAAATTTAACCGATCTATAAAAATTTATTTAATAATTTACTCTTCATTTAATGCATTCATTCTCATTCCTAAATCATTATCTTCTCCTTCATCAATAAAATCATTTTAATTATCTTCTAACATTATTTAATTCATTTCTGCTAAATATGGATGCTATAAACATTAATGTGCAGTTATTCTTTTAGTAGGATCTTTTTCAAGCATTCTTTTTATTAAATCAACAGCAGTGTTAGGAGCATTTTACAATTATTTTAAAGTGAAATCAATAGTAGCTTCTCTATTTTATTTGACAACAGTGCCATAACTTTTTCCAGGAAAAGCAGGTTTACCAGTTAATAATAAATAAAAGACTAATCCAAGACTATAAATGTCACAAACAGAACTATAATGGGCTTTCATATCTTTAATATTGATAACTTCAGGTGCAACATAACCAGGAGTTCCACATCGACAATATAAATAAACTGGTTCATTTACATGAGTGGCTAAACCAAAATCTGCTACAACCACTGTTTCCATTTTCCTATTAAATAGTATTTAATAAATATATTACTTTGGTTATTTGAATAAAATATTTTCTAATTTTAAATCTCTATGCATAATATCTTTTTCATGCATATGACACAATCCTTGTAAGATTCCTACTAAAATTTATTAAATTTATTTTGTAGATAAAATGACTTTTTCTTTGATTAGATCATATAATGAACCACCTTCTAATAATTCAAGTGCAACATAAAGTGAATTTGATGTTTCATATATTTCATACATTCTCATTAGATGATGATTATTTAATTTTCTCATTATTGTTAATTCATTCACAATAGCCTCTTTTCCATGATCTTCTGCATATGCTGCTTATTTTGAAAATGCTTTAATTGCCATTTATGCACCATCTTCTATACGTTCTCCCAAATAAACCTAAAATATAATGTAATAATTACAGATGCAAAATTACCCTTTCCAATTTTCTTGAATACTCTAAAAAGATGATGAAATTACCATTAATTAATTCTAGATTAAAAAAATTCTCTCCATTAAATTATCACTTTTTCATTTGCTGATAATGTATAGCTAGGCATTTAATCTTATCCATTATCTCTCATTAGATTCATTCCTATTATAGTACCCAATGAATCATCATCTTCATCTTTCTTTTAAATTTGAGTTCTAAGTATCTCAAATTTAGTTTCAAAATCAAGCTTTAGATATTTCTTTGGAGGATCTTCAGGTTTCTATTATTAATATTGAATTTTTAGATACTTTTGTAATAAGAATATAATGATCATAAGCAATCAAATATCTCTATTTTTTGTTAGACTTTTAGAATTCAGATTTCAAAATGGGTTTTTCATTTTTCCATTTCAATTCATTAGGAATAGCTATCCAAAGTTTTTATTTCATCAATAATAATATTAAAATTTTCAACCAGTTTAATCATACTTTTTAATACAAAATCATTTGAATAAATTCTTCCATTTAAAGGCCACCTTTCTCACCATTATTTACAATCATGACTTCACTTTATTAATTACTGATTGTCCCTCCACCAGCCTCTATTAATTTTATTATCTCTTCCTTAGTCATGTTTGATTTTAAATCTGGACTTAAATAAAATTGCTTATTCAAGAAAATCTTATTTAAGATAGAACTTCCTATTGATTTTAATATACTAAAATTATTAGTTTTCAGAACATATAAATATGGATTCTACACTTGCATTGAAGATAGACTATCTTTTATCCATTAAGAATTAACTATCATTTTCCCTTAATTCAGGGCTAATAGTAAATTGAATGTTCTTTTATAAGAATCCATAACCAAGATATTATAATTATTTGGGTCTATTTATATTCCCAATTTATAGAGTTTATTTTAATCTTCTGCACAAACATAAGAATTAGAAAATTTGAGTTTATAAACCCCATTTAATTATTTGATCTAAATATATTATAATTAATATACGTAATTTTAAACAAAACAATAATGTAGAGGTTTGCTTTTCTTTTATGCAATTTTGGAATTCTGAGAATATATTGATTCATTTAACACTTTTTTAATAATTGGCGGTTCATCTATAGATTTATTATGATCAATTAAATTTATTCTGATTACTCTTGATTTGCCATACTCAAAAGTAAATCGTTCATCTACAGCAATTATCTCTTTCTTTCCTGTTGAAAGATCTAATTCAAATTCTTTCCCTGCACATAAAGACTCCTTTTAACCAAATCCATTTATTCTATGAATATTAACTAGAGGTTGGACCCATAAAAAGTTATCTTCACGTTTAAGTCTGAAACAATCAACAAGAGGCACCTAAATTTCACAAGTTTCTGTATTTCCAACTGTTGCTAATCCCTTTTTGATTTCATATGTTTTACCCAAAACATTCATTAGAATTGGTTTCATTACTTTATTAAAACTTCCGATTAATTTCTATTATGAAAAATAATAATCATGATTAATATTTGTCAGAAAACAATCATATTTTTTAAATATATAGATTAAATTTTTTGGTATATCAATTTCTTTAAATCATAAGATGTTAATAAATAATTAACTTCCACAATATTCTTTTATTATTTGGAGGTTTTAATTAAAGATATTCAATAAATTAGAATTGATGTTATTTGAATCTAATTTAATATGAAATTTGATTCTCATACACATTATAAATCACTTGATATCTCTATCAAAAAATACATTAATTTGGATAACATAAAATATTGATATATTCAAAAAACCTCTTTTTAAAACAGTTTTACTCTAACACAGACTTATACAATATTAAATTATTATAAATGATTAATTAAAAATATTATAATATTCATAATCAAATTGTTATTATCTTAAAAAAAATTCAGAACAATATATTGCATTATTTAAATTGAATCAAAGACATATTTGTTTATGAAATGAAAAATATTTCAGAAACAAATTAATCTCTTATGAAATAAGATTTAATTAACACAACAGTTTGAATTATTAGGTAATCATAATAATTTGTAAATTGATATTTAAGTACTCTTATTATTTTATAATTAAAATTTGTCTACATTCTTTTCAATGCTTACTGAATAATAAGCAAATATTATATTAAATAAATTCTGTTAATCTCTGATATAATTGTAGCGATTGATAAAAGCTGTTGAAACTGTAACAAAAATTATTAATTTAATAATGGGTTCATGTAGTTCAAAAAAATAAAAGAGAATAATCTTAGATAAATCACATCAATAGACAACTTCCAACAGTGTTACTCCTATCAAACCAAAAAACTTGACTTTGAATTTACAAAAAATCTAATATGATGATTTGGAGGGTAAAGAGAAGAAAGAACCTAAAGATGATTAAAAGCCCTCTCCTCCACCAAAGCTTTATTTTGATGGAAATTAATTGAATGCTCAAAAAGAGAGCATTTTTGGAAGACCAAAAGTTTAGAGTATAAGACTGAACTAATAAAACTAATATAATCAAAAGGAGGAAATCATTTTTGGAAGAAAGGTTCGTTACTCCCATTCTCATCTATAAAAATGAAGTAACAAAAGAATTTTTGAAGATATTTATATGTATATATATATATATGTTATTAAAACTCTACATTTCTAGAATATTGATTTAATAATATAATTCAGATAATGATTGTGATTGCGATTCTGTACAATGTAAAATTTATTCTAGAATAATGATGCAATTGTAAATTTAATTATGTAGAAAATCAAATAAACTTTTAAATGAATATCAATTTCTCTATTGAAGTGATGTTATAAATTTATTGAACTTTTGAGTAATTGATAATATATATTGTAAGATTATATAGAAATGAATGTGATGTTATAATATAAAATACTGATCATCTTCATTTAGTACAGTTGAAATTTTAAATATTTAATTAATAATTATAGTACAATAAAATTGATGAAGATAAGCTTATTAAATATGTAGAAAGAGATTTTGAAAATAAAATAGAGATTTAGGGTCTAAAATGATATTTTATTAATGTCATATAATTATATTGTGTAAAAATCTTATATCAATAAAGTATATAAATAATTTATAAAAATAGTGTAAAAACAGTATAAATTTTACTTTAAAAAATGATAATTAAAATTAGAAATTTCAATAGAGAGTCGGTAAAATTAGAATGCCATTATAGAAATGTGAAGGGTTGGAGACAAAAATTTGTTAGAAGGAATGATATTTTTTTATAAAAGTTATTCTTAATACATTTATTAATTGAAATGAAAATTCTATCTGGAATTTTATTTATAGATGGAAGGGAATTTAAATTTTATAGAGTTTTATATATATAGAAGATAAATAATTTATTGAATTATTAAGTTCTAAATTAACAATTTGATAATTTAAATAATGAAAAATAAAACTTCAATAACTTGTGTTTTCTTGCTTTGTCTGGGATGTTTACTTGTGATACAAAATTATCTAGATGTAAGTCATGTGTTGATTTATTTTTAGGGCTAAGAAACATTTTTGGAAAGCTTATCGTAAGTCACAGTTGATATTTGTGTTGATATTGGTATATGAAAAATATATCTATTAGATTATTAACCCACTTCAAATGAAATATCAGAAGCAAAAAGATTAAGGGAGGAGTTATTATCGACTAATAATAGAATAGGTTTAGATAATTTGGCTGAAAACGATGGGAAATTATCATCTGAACAATAATCGGATGCAGTTTAAGCAGTGATTTTTATGTTACTTCCATGGGCGATACTTTTAGTAATATCATTATTCACTTACATAACACTGATGATATGTTGTAGTGATTGGTATAATAAAAATTTAATTTATCAGTTGTCCTTGTGGTTGTTGTAGGTGTTCATAAGCCTAAAAAATAGATGATATCAGAATACCCTTAACATTTTCAATAATCTTTGGTGTTATCATCTTGGCTTTCTGTATAGCAGGATTAATTTTGAGTGGTGAAGTTGGCAACTCTATAAAATCAATTAGATGTGCTGGATTAATGATATTTAGTGATATAAATGATGGAGTTACAGATAGTGATGATGAAGAGATGAAAAAATGGAAAGGATTAGATTCTGTGATAAATAACATAACCACTATTTAAAATGGATTAGGTAGTTTTATATCAGATACTTAAAAATAATTAGATTAAATAAATGCTAAGTAATTACAAGATTAATATGGAGAGTTATCTGATGAAAATAAAAAGTATTATATTCAATATATATATATTATAGACTTGAAGCAATTCCATTAACTACTTATTATGGAACCAATAATATTCTAGGTTATATTTCAACAGGTAAAACAGTAAATGCTGACTCAATAGTTACAGAAGTAACATAAATTAAGGTATTACCACAATCATCAATATTTTAATAAATTTATGAGAATATTATTAAAGAGATTGCTAATATCAAAAGTTATGGATAATAATTAAGTGATTAATAGGATGATATATCTAATAGTTTAGAAGATACTAAAAAATCAATATAAGATACATAATTAAATTTATTGAATGCAGCCAATGATTTTCTAGATAATACAAAAACATTAGATGATGCAAGTGATCTTGCCTCATTAGTTTTTTATATTGTATTTGGAGTTTTTGGATTATTCTCTTTAGTAATTATTTTTAGTTCAACTCTCCTTTGTTTTGGAAAAGGATTAAAATGTTTTAGATGTTTATTAGTTTGTGCTTGTACATTTAATTTTTTATTTGTTTTAATTGGATTTATTTTAAGTGCAGTTTTAGGAGTAACAAGTGGTATGCTTGCTGAAGGATGTGATTATATTGATGTAATATTAACAAATTAAACTAAATTTGAAAGTTTAAATTATGCAATCAAAGACAAAGAGATTAAAGAAATTATGACTGAATGTTTATTTAAAGATGGAGACATTCTCAATTATTACAATGTTTATGAAAATTTACAATAGGCTATTGATTTAGATAATTCAATAAGTTAGTTTGAATAACAAAAAGCAGAATTTAATAAATAATCAGCAGTAGGTGATGCAACTTTAAAAATTAATTAGGATTATATTACTTCTTTTGTTACATTTGAAAGAGTTGATGAAAAAGAATATACACCTCCATCTGATTCTACAAATATTAAATATTTAATGAGAGAATAAGTTAAAGCATGTAATAGTAATAAAAAGAGTTCAGTACCAGATAAAATGTCATATTGTGATACATCAGCTATTTAATATTAACCTTTATCTGGTTCTCCATTTTCAAATCCCAATAATCAACCTGTTTGTTTATAATCAGCTATATTTTCAACAGATTAAACATTGTTAAATCAATAAATTTCTGGTTGCCCTGAAATCTCTACCATAAGTTAATTTTATACAACTCAATCTTCATAATGGAAACCAGCACAAGATTAAGAAAAAACTATTTTAGATAAACATAAATAAAATTAAGATGCATTGATTGTTAAATTTGATGCCATTACATCATATACAACAGCAGCTTCAAATTATTTAAAATCAATTACAGATAAAAATACAGGTTCATTATCAGGAGTCAATTGTAAATTTGTTTAAGTATTTATATAATAATTATTTTATTAGGTATCCATTACAAGAGTGTAAAATGTGATGTGTGCTAAATCTTTTAGATTATTTTATTATTTTTGGATCTTCTTTGCAATCATTTCAATCTCAATGTGGTTAAGTGCAATAAGTATATTTAGAGTAAGCATAGGGTAATATATATATCTATTAAATTAGAATCTATTATTTGTCAAAGATAGAAGCTTATATATAAGGTGATTATACAAATGGATAGTATACTTAAGGTAATATACCTATGCCTCTTCCATAATAAGATATAAGTGTATAATAAGGATATGTTTAATAAGGTATTGTTAATTAACCTCAAATACCAAATAATCCTTATATTTAAAAAGACATTCAAATCAATTATCAATAACCATAATGAATATTTAATAAATTTATCATCAATTTTATTGAATTATTAAAAACCTTCATTCAAATTAATGATCAAAACATCTTATTAATATATTAATTTAGAATATATAATGTAATTTATAATAAAAGAATATAATAAATATTTAAAATAGAATTATTTTTTAATAAAAAAATAATACTATTTTATTATATCAATATAATTCTCAGTTTTCTTCTTATATTACATATGATTCCTATTAAAATGATGGTTATTCTTAAGCTTTTACAATTTAAAAATGCTTTGTTTATTTTCTAAATAACATTTTTTTTTAAGCTTAACTTGAAATTGATGGAGCAATATTATTGTTGTTATTTCTTTTATTATCTGAAATATTACTATTAGATTATTATGATTGCATATTAAGAATTGTTTACTTTATTACTATTGTATTTTTTATAGTCTTTCTTTTTTAACTTACATTGATTCCTTCTAAAGTTTATCTTTTAAATTCTTCAACACTATTTTTAAAATAAAACAATAAATATGCATCAGATAAATTTTCAGGTTATTAAACTGGTGTAACTAAAGAGTCATTGTAATGATACCAATGTAAATCATCTCTATTTTTAGCATAAGCTGTGTAATGTCCAGAAGTTAATGTACCACTATGATTGATAATTCCATAAAGATCATAAGTTGGTTTTTCTATTTATTTTGTACATACAAGATTTTCAAAAGATAAATTCTATAATGGATATTTTACTAAAGATCTGATTTTAGCTCTGAATTAAGAATTAAATTTAAATCTTTTTAGATGAATTATTAGAATATTTGGCATTGTCCATAAATCAATCTTTTTATTACTGTCTCTTCTTGATTAACAATTTGTGCAATTCCATCCTTCATCTCCTTTTAGAGTTTCTTTTTTCAAATATTCTTCTATACATTCTAATAAATCACATTCTCTATTCAAAACTGGTACACTTAGATACATAAAAGGTTCAAAACAATATCTTGAAGATTTACAAGTTAAGCATGATAAAGTATCAAGCACTTAACCTTAAAATAAATCAACAATAATTGATTAATTTCGTGACAAATATTTTTTCCATTCTTGTTATGCATCCTCATTAGTTGGAAATTTTATAAACTTTGTTTATTCTACATAAGGTTTCTTCTTTATTCTATTCAAATCTTCATGTATCATATCTAATAAAAATGCAATGAATTCATGTGCATCCTCCTATGTCCCTTCAGCAAATATAGGATTATAATTTCCAATTGTTGAAATAAATTATGTCGGTTTCAATACTTTAATATCATCATATTAATATTGATCAACTTTCTACCATAGTAGCCTGATAAGTTAAGCAAATGATTTGACTATATTTCCTTAAGAAGATAAAGGATTTTCAGGATTTATCTCTTTGATATGTAGTTAAGACATAAAGTAATCAGTTAATGGTTATGTATTTGATAAGGCTTAGATAGACTATATAAGTATTAATTATACTGAATTTAAAAAGCATGTATTTCCTAAATTAGTCAATCCAAACAATCCTTATGTATCTGTATCAAATTGATTAATTTGTTAGACTCTTCTTTATGTAGCCTATCTTTTGAACTTATTTGGAATCTATTTGTAATTAACATCTAAAATGCGACTAGGTTTGGGCATCAACCTTTGTTCTGTATTCATTTTTTTCATTTTTGTCTAAGGTTCATTAACTTTAGGTTTAGTTTAGCAAATACCCATTCAAATATTAATAATTATATATTCTTAAAAATATTGTAATATAAAAAAGTCAATGAGTGATAGGCACTGTATCAACTTCTTATTATGTGATTGTTGTTGTTTCCGTAGCTTTTTAACTGTATTATTATTAATCATAGGCAGGTATTCTGTGTCTCCTCTTTTATGTTTCTTATCATCAGAAAAAACTTTATTTTACCTTTTCTGTTTGAATTTCTACACTAATATTATCTTTCTATCTCTTTTAAATTTCCTTGTAGGGATTTTGTAACCAAAAAACATAGGGGATATACTTCCAATATCAGATTATTGATTAAATCAATTAGAATTGAGTCTAGGTATATTTGTATAATGTTGAAAGCACTCAAGAATATAAATGTAAATCCAAAAATTATAAAACTCAACTCCTATATATTCTTAATACTTAGTTTTGATTATCAATAAATGATATTAATTCTCAAAATAAAGATATAGGAAATTTGGATGATGCAAATTAGGCATTCAATTCATCAGATCCAAATCCTATTTCTTT